TGAATAAGGAAGACCGTAGAATTGATGTTTTTGAGTTATGGTTTTGGAGGAGGATGTTGAAAGTGCCATGGGTTGACCATAGAACCAACAGATGTGCGTTGAAGGACATGCAGCCAGAATGCTCCTTAGAGGCCAAGATGGCCAAACTTTATCTCTCATACTTCGGACATGTTGTCAGGAGGGACCAGTAGCTGGAGAAGGATATCATGTTTGGAAAGAGAAAAAGAGGAAGACCCCCAGCGAGATGGATTGGCCAAGTGGCAACAATAGTGAGGTTGGCCCAGGATCGGGCAGTGTTTTGTTCGGCTGTGCATAAGGTCATTATGAGTCAGCACCGACTCGATGACACCTAACAACAACAACAACATGGAGTCCTAGTGTGGCACTGTGGGTTAATGCGCCAGATACAAAGCGGTTTGAACCTCAAGGTCAGTGGTTCAAGCTCACCAGCTGCTCTTTGGAAACCCTATACAGGGTCGCTATGGGTTGGAACCAACTCGATGGCACTTAACAACAACAAGTCTTATTATATGCAATTACATATATTTTAATAGAATTGAGCTTATTTTGTTCATAGAAGTTGATGCCTTTATTTTTTAAATTACTCAGGTTATATGGAACATTTTTCAGGTTAGTAAAAATAACTTGCTTCAAAAGTTTTCTTAATGTCTATTCTAATGCATAAAAGTCTATCATGTGGCTGTATCATAATATACTTATCAATTACTCAATTGTTGGATTTGTCACCATTTCCTGGGCAAAAAAAAAAAAAAAAAAGTCTCCTTTTTCTGCTACATAGCTAAGGTATAATTACCTGCAAATACAAATAGTAAGGGTTTAAAAAGTACAGCGTTTTCATTCTGAGAAACACAGTGTTTGGAATTAGCTGGCTCCAATGCCAGCTCACATACTAATTTTCTATATGAACTTTGTTGAGCTACTATACCTTTATGGAATTCATTTTTTTTTATTGTAAAAACCTAGATGCTTTAGTACAGAGATTAATTTTTTCCCAAATTACGCTTGCAGGAACTCTTGAAATTCTTTTCAAGGGCTAGTATAAAGGTGGTAGGCTAGAGGGCTATCATTTAGGTATCCTTCTTTCATCTAGAATTGCTCTCAGGTTTTTACATATCACTTCTAGATGCGTTTTCCTAGAAGAAAAGATTCCAAGCTTCAAAAAACAACCTGAACCATTGGTCTAGTGGTTGAGAAAATAGGATGGTTATAAGGAGAGATAAGCAATAACCACAAATATTTGCAGACTGCCATTCACTGATTGAGAAATGCTGTACACTGTTTGCCTAATATACAATTTTGTACATTTTCTTTAACAATGAGGAAGTCAAGCATTATAGAAGGAAAGTAACACAGCTAGTAAGCATAGTAAGCAGTTGTTGGTAAGTGCCGTGGAGTTGGTTCTGATTCATAGAGGCCCTGTATAGTGTTCCCTAGGAGAGGCTGGTGAACTTTAACCACCACCCCTGTGGCTCAAACCGACTTTACAGTCCAGCACATTAATCCACAGCACCACACCAGGACTCCAGTAAGCAGTAGGACCATGATTTAAAGTTAGGTGCTCGTTACAGAAGCCAAGTTCCAGACTACTAGGGTATTCTGCTTCTTCAAGTAAGATCAGATTTGGTACAGTAGTGGTTGTTAGCCACTGTGATGTCAGTCCATGACTTTGGCAAACCCATGCACAAAACACTGCCCAGTCCTGCATCATCCGCAAGATCAGCTGGGGATCTACCTTTGTGATCCACAGAGATTTCACTAACTGAGCTTTGGAAATCGTGAAGCTTTCTTCCGAATCCACAAGGAAGTTCTACTGAAACTAGTCAGTATCATGTTGTTTGTAAGTGTCATCAAGTTGGTTCCGACTCATACGGACCCTTTATAGGGTTTCTGAGGAGTGAATGGTGAGTTTGAACCACCTACTTTGTGATTCAAACTGACCTTGCGGTCCAGCACAGAGCAACATGCAAACCACCATTGACAGACAGATAAGGGCTGTGTATAAGTGCACTTGCGGGAATTGGACCTGGGTCTCCTGCATAGGATAAAGTGCCCTCATAAAGTTCTTTTTAGCTTTATCATTCAGTCAGTGAATTAGCATGGAGTCCTGGCGTTCATAAAATAAAGCTAGTAAGCATAGTAAGGCTTTTGAGGATGCCTCAATAATGACAGGAGTCCTAGTATGGCTCTGTAGGATCAGCACTGAACTGCTAACTACAAGGTTAGTGGTTCAAACCCACCAGCCATCCCTCGGAAACTCTATACAGGGTTGCTATGAGTCAGAACAGACTTAAGGGGATTTAATAACAACAATCATGAGAAAACAAAAGTAGAGAATCACTGAAATCCCATGCACATGTACTGAAGACCATGAAAATACCCTCAAGAAGGCTGAACCTGAGAAGTTTCATGTTTCCTGCAGGGACCTAATGTCTGACTTTGGATAAAAAGTCTATCCTTTTGGATACAATGAGGAGGTGGGGCTACGCTAACTTCAAGCCAAAGAACTAAATTTTATGTATACCCATAAATCTCCTAGGCACTGATTCTTCAGCAGTGAGGTTCCCTCATTGTGGGCCCACAGCTTAAACTTCAAAAGCAAAATCTACTGATAACCATTTCCTTAAAGATTACATTTTTTATAACCAGCGAGATGATTTACACATGAGGAACTTAAAAATGTTATCAGTTGATGAGCGATGTTCACATACTAGTGACTATACCTTACAAAAAAATCTTAACTAATCTGCTCAAGAACATCAAAGCACATCTTCCAATGGAAATGGCTACAGGTTAGCAAACAAGCTACCTTAAAGACAGGAAACATACATCTGCACATTAAAGATTTACACCAAGATCAAAATACATTTTACAGCCAAACTTTCTGTGCTATTAAGTTCTGTTACCAAGAGTCACTACAATTACCTAGTTCGGAGTGATTAAAAGGAAGGTTCCTATAATTCATGTTGTAATGCTTTCATTATAATATGAGAGGGGAAAATAATGAGTCTAAAAAGCTATGACTATAATGTGAAAGGAAATTTTTCCTTATTCTAAATGTATCACTTTAAGAATTTCAACCTTCATCACTGTCACTTGGTAGAGAATTTGAAGAAATAATTTTTTTAATCGTCAACATCAAGAAGCATGCTGCTTCCTCCTTGTTAGTTTCCAAGGAATATAAAATAGGTTTTCTAACTCTCAGTTTCAAATTATTTTTTAAAATAATCTGATAAATATATTTACTTGAAATACACTCATAATAAGAATGAAAGGAAATGAAAAAAAAACTTCATCAAACAGAAATGGATCAAAGAACCAGAAAAAAAAATGATTAATTTTCTATTCAACAGGTTAAGAATTCACATTGGCCAGGCACTGTGAAAAATAAAACGTAAATACAATAAGTGGTACAGAAAATCTTTTAGCTAGAAAAGAATTAGTAAACAGAAAAAAATATTTGGCTTAGTTCTGTTATAGGAAACAGCACATGAAAAAACAGGTTCATTGTAAGATCCTTTTCACACTGTTTGTTTACCCTACTCCATAACAGTGTAACATTTCTGGTTTTTCCACCCATGTACTCTAATTGGAAGACAGATGAAGTCTACTTAATCAAGGACACAGCATGTTTCGCTGCGGTTATAAGGCTCTAGAACATTAAGGAGGCTGAATGTCCAGTCACACTGATCTTCTACAAATAATGGGCATCATTCACTCTTGTTTCTTCAACAAGTCGCTGCCGTTACAGAATAAATAACTGACTATATCAAAGGTCTCCAGGTTGGCAGCTGGTAAGATTGTTCAAGTTATCCATTAAGTGCATTTTCCTCTCAACAGTTTACCAAATAGACCTCCTATTCTAAAGTTTACTTATCCATGAAATTCAAATAGTATGAAACCGTTCAGTTCAAGAAAAATAATGGTGTGAAAATGCCAACTCTTATAATAAATGTGAATATAGGACAAGGGCAGATATTTATTTTTTACTCATGCTAACTAACTGGGGATAAGGGAAGGAAAATGTGAGGCAAGGAAGTATCAAATCACTGTTACCAGCAAGCCACAAGCCCCACCTCCTCCCTCAAAGCAACAGTTGTTGTTGCTAAGTGCTGTAGAGGTGGTTCCAACCCACTGCAACCCTGTCATAGGGTTTCCAAGGAGCAGCTGGTGAGCTTGAACCAGCAACCTTTTGGTTCAAACCGACTTTGCTGTCCAGCGCATTAGCCCACAGTGCCATATCAGGACTCTAAACCAAACGTAATACCTTCCTTCTGTTTCCCCAGCCTTTACATCCATTTGGCAATTTAATCAGCTATCACCTCATATTGCCATGTCATCTGTCTGTATTTTAAGTACCAGATTAGAATATAAACTTTTAAAGGGCAGTGTACTGAACACAGTGGTTCATTTTGCTTTTGTTTTTAATTTCCCTTAATATCTAGCACAATACCATGCACAGAAGGTGCTCAATACATATATGCAAAATTAATAAACTTAACAGCAAGTAGCCACAGTCTGTTGTTGGCTTTAGTCCCTCAAAGAGGTCCTTTTATTTACAAAATATTCTTTCAATAAGAACAAAACTATTCATTCTTCTTTTCAATAGCTGGAAGTTACTTTTCAAACTGGAGACAAAAACACTACCAGACTCCCTGACATTATAAAGGGAAAGAAGCAATTTAGATGCTTGTATGAGAAAATAAATTTTTTAACGTTTATGTCAATAAGGCACAAAGTTCCATAAAGGTTCACAACTCAAACATGTCAAAGTGACTGGGTCATAATGCACATATTAGTGTTTACTCCACAGAGTGTTTTAAGAAGATCCTACCCAGGAATGCTGGCACAAATTTTGAATAAAGAATAGAACCAGTTCAATTCAGTCTTATTTCTATTATTACATAAACCCTGAACCTCAGGGTATATCTCATTTATCTGTTCATTTAATTTAAGTCATAGATTAAAACAGGAATTAACAATCGCCAAATGTGGCATCTTCTTAAACCTTAACTGTGTAAGACAGTCTTCCACTGTTCAGCAAAGATGAGAAAACTACGTGCAGGGTCAGTTCCTGCACAAATGCACAGAGCAGCCCAGCCCAGCCCGACCCAATTCCGCAGCTACTTACAGAGTCACTTTAGTGGTCACAGTCGATCTGCCTGCACCGAAATGGTTCCTAGGCCTTAAGCAATCAGCATCAGCCCCTCCTGCGGATCTGCCCAGTTCTCTACTTCGACTTCCTTCTCCCCGGCCGTCGAAGTGGTTGGGCAGCGGGCCCCTTTTATGCTCTGGTTTGAACTCCTGAAGTAGAGAGCTGCTTTTGACCGTGAGTTCTCGTGGGATGACCCGGGCCGCCTCCTCGCCGTTCTCCCCCGCGATGCCCTTGGCTGCCGGGCTCGTATCGGCCGCGGGCGTCTTCTTGGTCGGGGGCTCCTTGGCAGGAGTCCTTAGGTTACTGGCAGGAGGGGTGGACACGGCCTCGGGAACGCGGCTCCGGCCTTTCCGCTTGATGGGAGATGAGCTGGGCGGCAGCTGCTTACTCCGGTCTGACTCTCCTCGGGTCTGTCCTTTGGGGCCAGGGCTAGCCTTCGACTCCGGGCTCCCAGCAGAGGCAACTCCCCCATCGGGGCTCCTCAGCGGAGATTTCACTTTCTTTTCGGCGGAGACGTGCTCAGTGGCTGCATCTGGCGCCACCTCGTCGTCGAACACCGCGTCGTCCCTCGTGGTGCTCTCTGGCTGCGCCGCATCTGCACTGGGGGAGTCGGTGGATTTCTGCGATTTCCTCCGCCTCCCTGACCTGCGACCACTCGACCTCTTCTCCATGTCGTCGGAATCGCAGCAATCTTCAGCGCCAGCAGCAACCACAACCGGCTTGTCTACCTGGGCGTCCTCAGTCTTACTCAAGTAAATGTCCAAAGTTAACACTTTGGCTGAGGAAGCGCGTCCTCCTGGCCCAGCTTTGGTGTTTACCTGCACTGAGCCAGCCCTATTCTCTTGGTCCTTGGTGGGAGGGTCACCTGGCGGGGCTGAGGTGTCCTCTGGGGGCTCCAAAGAGCCTTGTTCAGCACACACCTCAGGGCCCCGGTCCAAGTCTTCGCCTAGTCCTCCAGGGGGCCGCTCCCTGGTGGGCGTCCCCGGCACACCCCTCACACCCCTGGTTGTCTCCTGTTCACAGCCAGCGCCTGGAGAAGAGTCCTCCCCCGGACTGCGGGCGAGCGTCTCAGAGTTCTCTTGCCTGGAGGAATTCTCTGGCGAGGAATGCAGCTGCTTGGCATTGGTGGTGGCATCTGGGAAAGTCTCTCCCTCGGCCTCCAGAGGTTCTAATTGGGGTGAATCACTTTCATGGCACTGTTGCACAGCGTCCCGTGCACCACTGCTCAGGCAAGGTGACTGCTCAGCGTCCAGGGGGGTTGCCTGGATACTGCTCTCGGAGTGCTCACCCTCCTGCTCAGATGTGGGGCATGAAGCTGATTGCGTTGGTTGGTTGCTCTGGGATTTACTCTTCTCATTCTCCTTCTCGGAGTGTTTAGATGTTACATTTTTGGAAGAAGCCGGTTTGACATTTGAGCTGGTGGGATTCTCTAGCCCGTTTCTGACATTCCTTCTCCTCCCCGCTGTGAACAGATTGCCAAATTTCCCCAAAACTGGCTTTCTTTTGTTCTCTTCTGGCGGTTGTGCTCTGGACTGAAAACACAAAGGGGATGGAGAAAGAAAATGAATGAGAATCCTGTTTTCCCTTTAGTGGTATACTACTGAATCACAAGCCAAAGTGATAAATGAACAAAGTTTCTAAATGAAAATGAGAAACCTGTGTTTTTGTGACATTCAATACAACAAAATGAGCTCTGGTTTTACTTTTTGCTTATGCACTATTTTTCTTAAGCACCATCAATTTTTAGTGCAAGTTAGAATAATATTTCCTTTAACTGAAAGTTTTTTCACAAAGGAAAAGTACCCCCAAAAAATCACACATATAAAACAGTTTCTAGTTCTCTCTCGCTTTGGCTTTTTTTTTTTTTTTAACCTCCTTTGTCAAAGATGCAATTTCAAAACAGCCATGTATGGCTAGGTTCCAACTCATAGTGACCCTACACAGGGTTTTCGAGGCTGTAAATCTTTACGGGAGCAGAAAGCCTTATCTTTCTCCCTTGGAACGGCTGGTAGTTTCGAACTGCCAACCTTGAATTTAGCAGCCAGATTCATAACCACTATGCTACCAGAGACTAAAAGTACGTCAAAGTGGAATTCTTTTCAAAAACTTTCTTTTTGTAGATTGGAAGGAGAATGGGGAAAAGTACTGGAGAACAATAAAAAAGCCACCTGGGTTCAACATAATTGCTAAATAAAACATTGAGAAACCCGGATAATCCAGCACCTGGGCCCCACCCTTAACCTACAAAAGGATCTCACCGCGCCTAGCCCGCGCTCCTCCAATGGGAGAAGCGCGCGGACATTCAAACGTCCGCAAGCTCTCATCAGGCCCAACCCATCGCTAACGCTTTTGGAGGAAAGATTTTCCTTTTTGCAGGAGGTGAGAGGCACGGTTCAGTCTCTCGCTAGGCCTTTGCCCACACCAACCTCCGCTCCATTGGCTGCGCATCGCTACCTTCTGGAGCTGAGTAAACACGAGAGAGCCTCAAGGGCCCGCTCCTCTGTGGGAGGGGTCGGGACGCCAGCGAAAGATCTGCGCGGGTTCGGGAAGGGCAAGAACTTGTGCTGTTTACATCGCCCGCAGCAAAACGGCCCGCACTGGGTGCCAGCGGCGGAAGTCGAGAGGGAGCATTGAACCAAACAATAAAAACAAACCCTCCAAAGGGCAGAGCGGCGCGCGGGTTTGCCCCGGGGGCAGTTGAGCGGCAGGCAAATGAAACCGACCAGGAAAGAATAAAAGAACCAACCATGGTGCCTGTGGGAGGGAGCTTTAGTTTTGACCCCCACCTGAGTAAGCGTCCCCCAGAAAACCCAAGCAGATACCTGTGGCTACAGGAATTTAAGAATGACCCCTTCCACTTAAAACCCAGGCATTAGCTTCAGGCTTGTTGAAGCAGAAAAGTGCCCCATCCAAGTTTAACTTTGAGGACAGTTCTTACAATATTAGCTTTTACCAAATGATTTCTGAATTACTCTTTAAAGCAGTTTCATTTCTAACTTACATGCCAATGAACTTTCAGGATTGTGGGACCCAGGAAATCACTGTTAAAATCTAGAATTAAGAGTGTCAACAAGCATCTATGGAGCACACTATCATTTGTTAAGTACCTTCGAGTCAGTTTCAACTCATAGTGACCCTGTACAGGGTTTCCGAGGAGCGGCTGATGAGCTTGAACCACCGACCTTGTGGTTCGAACCGATCTTACGGTCCAGTGTTTATTCTACAGTGTGACTCTGTGTAGGGTTTCCCCGGAGTGGCTGGTGGGTTTGAACTACAGACCTTGCAGTTCAGTGCTTATCCTGCAGCTCCACACCAGAAAAGGTGAGGTGGTGATGATGGTGGCTGTGTGCCGTCTAGCGGGTTCCGACTCATAGCCGCCCAGAATAGGATTTCCAAGGCTACACAAAGCCTCATTTTTCTCCCAGAGCAAGTGGAAACTGCAGACCTTTCAGTTAGCAGTCCAACGCTTGTACCCCACTACGTTATCAGGACGACTTAAAATGTGTTGCAGGGGAGGAAATCATTGCCAGAATTTAAACACAAGTCCTCAGCTTCCAACTTGCAGTCTCTGGACTCCACTACAGGAACCTCTTTACACAACACTAAGGTGCAGTGGGTACTCTGAACCAAAGTCAAACCCAGATTAGTGGACTCTGGAGCACAAAGGCACAGAATCAGTGCACCTGAGTAGGCAACTGAGGACATTCTGGTTTGAGAAGCACCTGGTAGGGGCTTTGGTACTAAATAGCTGCTATGTGAGGAGGTGGGCCACTTTAGATTTTTGTGACTGAGTTGATAAACAAATATTTTAAATCTGACCAGATTTTGACTATTCTAATTTTTCAGTGGGAATGCGGTAGTTCTGTAGGATAACCACTGGACTTCAAACCATAAGGTCAGCAGTTCAAGTCCACCAGCTGCTCATAGGTAGAAAGATGAAGCTTTCTGCTCTGGTAAAGATTTACAGCCTTGGAAACCTTATCCAGGGTTGCTCTGTGTCAGAACTGCCTCAAGGACACTTAACAACAACAAATTCTTTAATACTGATATAAATTTTCTAAGAAGAATTTGCAGTGGCATTAAGAGAAAATATTAAACTAGTTCAATTTCTTAAGAACTACACTTGGATTCTTTTATGACAAGCCAAAGAGATTATATGATTTATACGCATAATAATTCATGCTTGCTAAGCCTTCTTTATGAACCAGACACTTGGTAAGTAATTTACATATTTTACATTTAATCCTCCCAACAACTCTCAAGGTAAGTGCTCTTCATGTCCATTTGCCAGGGTTACCGTATCTTACCCAATGTCCTACAGGGACCTACGGGCTCTTAAATTCTGTCTAACTCTGGAGCTAGAGTTCTTTGCCTTGACTGCCTGTACATGCTTTCACAGCTATCCTAGAAAAGTAGCCAGAAAAGTAAGTTTGAGTCTATTGGCTCAATTCCAGCCCACGTCAAAATAAAACGACTAAGTGTATGTGTTCATCTTTCCTGCCAATGATGTTGCAATTCATTTTTCTCATGCGTTAAAAGACGCCTGATCAGCAGTCCTTTCTATGCTCAGTACAGGTTTTTTCTTTGCTTTTTTCCTCTTTTGGCTATAGCTGCCTACTACAAAACTGACTGCTCTTTGAAATTAGGCCTCATCAACTCTCCCTCCCCACAGCTGGGCAGTCTATTTATTGCTGGCTAGGCTGCTTGTTTAATTTCCTACAATTCCACAGTTTTGTTTGTTTATATATGAATATTCATAGAATTTTTATTCATAATAGCCCCAAACTAGAAACAACTTAAATGTCTATTAACTGGTGGATGAATTTCTGAAACATGTAACAACATGGATAAATATCAGATGCATTATACTAAGTGGAAGAAGCCAGGCTCAAAAGGTTACATACTTTATATGACATTCTAGAAAATGTAAATCTAACATATAATGATAGTCAATCAGTGGTTGCCTGGGGCCTGGGGAAATGGGGGAGAGGTTAACTGGGAAGAGGCATATGGGAAGTGCTCTCTACCTTCATTATAGTAATGCTTACACACATGAATATATATGGTGCGGCACTGCAGGATAATGTGCTGGACCTCAAGGTTGGTTTGAACTGCAAGGTCAGAGGTTCAAATCCACCAGCTGCTCCTCGGAAACCCTATACAGGGTCGCTATGAGTCGGAACTGACTCCACAGCACTTAAGAACAACATACTTAAAATGAGGACATTTTATTATATGCAATTGATAACTTAATAAAATCCATCTAAAAATATAACTTTTCCTGGAAAATAAAGAGAATAAACTGTGGCACAATCATGTGGCTCAGGTGCATCATTTCACAGTTCTTACTCAATGGGGATCTCAAATCATTTGAAAGGATTGTTGCTGTTAGGTGTCATCGAGTCGGTACTGACTCATAGCGACCCTATGCACAACAGAAGGAAACACTGCCCTATCCTGGGCCAACCTCACAATCATTGCTATGTTTGAGCCCATTGATGCTGCCACTTTGCCAATCCATCTTGCTGGGGGTCTTCCTCTTTTTCTCTGACCCTCCACCTTACCAAGCATAATATCCTTCTCCAGTGACTGGTCCCTCCTGACAATATGTCTGAAGTATGAGAGACGAAGTTTAGCCATCCTGGCCTCCAAGGAGCACTCTGGCTGCACTTCTTCCAACACAGATCTGTTTGTTCTTTTGTCAGTCCATGGCACTTTCAATATTCTTTTCCAACACCATAACTCAAATGCATCATTTCTTCTACAGTCTTCCTTATTCACTGTCCAGCTTTCACATGCATATGAAGTTATTGAAAATACCATGGCTTGCATCAGGCGCACCTTAGTCCTCAAATTGACATCTTTGCTTTTCAACACTGAAGAGTCTTGTGCAGCAGATTTGCCCAAGACAGACTCATTTATCTGGAAATGCAATCTTCCCTCAAGAGAAACTGTGTCCCTATGAATCTATAGCATCACATCTCCAAACAGGATTCTCTGAGTAGGGCTCAGAATGTCCCATTTCTCCTGAGAGTCTACAGTCACATCTTTGAGGAACAACCCTTCCTAAAACATGGCACACATTTCTTTTCCATCAGGGATTATATCTGCCCAGTGTTCATTGCAGAAGACTGAGTGTGGCAGATGGAGAAGGAAAGACTAGGTGGCTTAGAAGTTGTCCAGAGTGTCAGTAGGTGCCTTCTTAGGTATGAACTTCTGACTTTGGAACCCTAAACCTAGAATAAGAGGAGACCAGCACTTTCTAACTAAACCTTGGCAGTAATCCGCTGAAGGGGAATTTTTGCAATCAGGCCTTTGAGGCCCATCAAGCTGCTGTTTGCTCTCCCAGCCCCTCCTCCAGCATGACCATAGTCCTAAGGATCCAGACTGGTTGTCTGCAGACCCCAGACTACAGTAGAACCCATGCAATCCTAGGACCAATTTGTAGTTACGTTTTGCCATGTAATTTCTGCCCACCTCATTCAAGACATATTGTCAGGTGGGACTGGTTGCTGGAGAAGACTATCATGTT